GGGGGGGGGTCATCATACAAGAAAAACAATTTGAACAAGAAAAACAATTTGAACAAGACAAAAGACACAACTTGAACAAGAGATACAACCTGAACAAGAGAGACAACCCAACGTGGGGAAAAAAAAAAGAAGAGAAATAGAGAAGAGATGAGAAATGGAGAGAAAAAAACCAAAGTGTTTGTCCCACCTTCCATCCCCGGCAGTAGCACTGGATCAGCAGAGTAGCTCTCTTCTTCAGCTGGTACTGTTTCTTGGCCTGTGCGGGAGGAAAAGACATTTAATGTAGGTGGTGGGTTTTTTGGGGGGGCGTTCTTTTTTTTAAAAGCTTTTTAGTAAGTGTTTTTCGGCACTTGCAACATAAATGGGTCATCCAGTAGTGCCAAAGATTTAAGGTGTTACTAGAAAGTAGCCTACTACTACATGTGCTTCTATACTATACTCCTGCAAGTGTTATGCATGCATTCACGAGGACAGACTTGCTCCGCTGAATCCCTGAGACTGATTCACTGAACCCCTGAGACTGATTCACAGAACCCCTGAGACTGATTCACAGAACCCCTGAGACTGATTCACAGAACCCCTAAGACTGATTCACTGAATCCCTGAGGAAGATGAGGAGAGAAAGACGAGAGGGAGGGAGGAGATAAAGGTGGAAAAGAAAAGACGACAAGAAAAGTGTCCACTCATGTAGTATCCCCTGAAGCGTGCAGAGACGAGGAAGAAGGGGAGGGGGAGGAGGAAGAAGCAGAGATGAGGTGGAGGAGGAAAATGCGGAGAAGGAAGAGGAGGAGGAGGAAGAAATGGAGGAGGAGGAGGTGGAGGAAGAAGAATGCAGAAGAAAAGAAACATGTCTACTCACATAAAATCCCCTGAATTGAAGAAAGAGGAAGAAGAGGAGGAAGAATTCGAGGAGGACGAGGAGGAAGAAGGCCGAAGTGAAAAGAAGTGTCCACTCAAGTAAAATCCCCTGAATTGTGCAGAAATGAGGAAAGGAGGCACAGAAGAAGAGGAGGACGAAGTTGAGGAGGAGGAGGAAGAAGAAGAAGAGGAGAAAGAGGAGGGGGAAGTCGAGGAGGAAAAGGAGGAGGAGGAAGTCAAGGAGGAGGAGGAAGAGGAGGAGAAGGCAGAAGTGAAGAGAAGTATCCACTCTCATGTAGAATTCTTTGAATTGTGTAGAAATGAGGAAAGGGGGTGGAGGACGAGAGGAAGAGGAGGAGGAAGCTGAGGAAAAAGGCAAAAAAGAAGAGAAGTGTCCACTCAGGTAGAATTGTGCAGAAATGAGGAAAGCAGGCAGAGGAGAACAGGAAGAGGAAGAGGAAGAGGAGGAGAGGAAAAGGAGAGGAAGAAGAAGAGGAAGAAGAGGAAGATGAAATGGAGGAAGAAGGCAGAAGTGAAGAGAAGAGTCCACTGACGTAGAATCCCCTAAAGCGTGCAGAGAAGAGGAAAGGAGGCGGACAAGGAGAGTAAGAGGAGGACGAAAGAGAGGAGGTGGAAGATGAAGAAGAAGGAAGAGAAAAAAGTGTCCACTTATGCATAAGAGGTCGAGGAGGAGGAGGAGGAAGAGAAGGAGGAGGAGGAAGAGAAGGAGGAGGAGGAGGAGGAAGAAGAGGAAACCATGAAGGCAGAAAAGAAGAGAGTGTCCACTCACGTAGAATCCCCTGAAGCGTGCTGAGATGACGATCTGGCTGAGCCTCATGCGGCGGTACAACGTCTTCTGTTTCCAGCCCAGCCAGGTGGCTCTGATGAGGGTGGCCAGGGAGTGCATGCGTTCCCGCCGCCTCTCCTCCATGTCAAACAGCTGAGTGTGGGAGTGTGTGTGTGTGTGTGTGTGGGGGGGGTGGTGGAGAGAAGACAACAGATTATGATACATCAATGGCATGG